TAGAACATATTAATTATCATCCTATATATTAATTAAATTATTTATAATGTCAATGTAAAAAAAAAGAAAAATGTCAAAGAGCAAAGAATTCATTCATATTATAGAAAGCATTTGCAAGTAGCCATTTTTTTAATAATAATTTGAATTTTGTATTAGGCACTTCTTTTAGGTTATTTGGCAAATGATTATATATTTTGATAGCCATTATATAACTACTTTTATTGTATATCATTGAGTTAGCTTGCGGCAAATATAAATGATCATATTGTCTCATGGGTACATTTCTAAGTCGAACTTCAGATTTCTTTTTAAATAAGTGCATGTTGTTTACTACAAATAAGCTGATTTCTAATATATATATGCATGTCAACGTAAGATATTCTTTATTTTTAAATAATGGTAGTACTGACTCATCACTTTTTTTATTGTATATGATTCTTAGACAACGCTTTTGCAATAGAAAGGTACTGTTTACGTTGACTGAGTTACCCCATAAGACAATTCCATATGTTAGTAACGGGTACACATTACCATAGTATGCGTTACGAGCCACATCTACTGATGACACATCAACCAGGACCGATAGAGCATAACAGTAACTGGCAATTTTACTATTAATTTTATCAATATGTGATTTCCAATTTAAGTGAGCATCTACAGATATTCCCAAAAAGTCCGTTGTTTCAACATCAAAAACCTTATTGCCTTTAATATTAATATTTAAATTTAAACTATTTTTTTTATAATTTCTTATTTGCATAATTTTCGTTTTCGAAGAATTAATTTTTAAATTTAAATTATATAGCCAGTCCGTAATATTGTCGATATTAGCGTTGATCTCATTTTCATAATTTTGTAAACTTGAACCATTATTTGTGAATAATAACGTTACATCATCTGCAAATAATACACATTGATGATCTGTCTGTTCAGGAAGGTCATTGAGGTAAATTATGAACAATAGAGGTCCCAATATGCTACCCTGTGGAATTCCCAGTTCTGTCTTTTTGTAGATAGATTCCACGTTTACCAATGTTTTTGAGTTTTTATTATAGTGTATTAATGTTGTGGCTTGGTATCTATCATTCAAATAACTTTCTAATAGTTTAAGAGCTATTCCACGAATTCCTAGTTGATCAAGTTGATTTAAAATTATTTCTGGAACTACAGAATCAAAAGCTTTAGACATATCCAAAAATAAAGCAGTGACGTTTTTTTTTTGATCAACAGACTCACATGTCTTAATAAGTATATTTAAAATAGCCATTACAGTAGAGCGATCTTTACGGAAACCAAATTGATTATTATTGAGTAATTTATTTTTTTCTAAATATTTTATAATTCTATTATATATTACGCGTTCAAAAATTTTCGAAAATCCCGGTAGTAATGCCACAGGTCTATAGTTATCTGCAATGTCCTTCGGACCCTTTTTATACAGTGGTTTTATTAGGCTTACTTTTAACTTACTTGGAAAGCATCCACTTTCAAGCATAAGATTAGTTAAATATGTTAAAGGTTTGACAATATAGGTAGCACTTGATTTTATTATTTGCATTGATATGCCATCTACACCGCAGCTTTTTTTGTTTTTTAACTTTTTTATTATGGTCATTATTTCTTGTTCATCTGTAGGAGTTAGGAAAATACTATTACCTGTACTATATTTTGTGGGTTTGCGATTTTTTGATGTAATCGAGTAATTATTTTGTTGTATAAAATGATTATTCAATATATTTGCAATTTCATTTGGACATGTTATCACTTCATTCCCATTCCTTATTTGTTTTATCGTCTGACTTAATTCATTAGTTTGTTCAGTATTGTGTTTTATTAACCCCCAAATAGCCTTTGTTTTGTTTGTACTATTCTTTACATAATTTAGATTAGATAGTCTTTTCGAGTATCTTATTGATGATCGCAATAATCTTTTATATGTCTTGTAATGAGTTGTTGTTTGTTGTGATGTATTATTTTGTATCTGCAGATAGAGTTGTCTTTTTCGTTTACTAGATATAATTAATCCTTTACTTTTCCAATTAGGCTTTTTTTTTAATGAAATTTTCACTTTTTCTATGGGAATACACAAGTCATGTATCATTTTAAATAGTTCTAAAAAAATACCATAAGCCAGATCAACGTCGTTTGTTTGGTATATCTCAGAAAAGTTTACTTGTGAGATATATTTCAAGAATATGTTCAGGTTAACATCAACTTTCCTTTTGTACACATACCAAAATTTGTTATTATAATTTAGTTTGCAGGGCAATTCTAAAATCTGGCCAGCATGGTCTGATAAACCTGTATGCACAACATTAGATTTAAAATTTTTGGTATTGGTTATAATATTATCTATACAAGTTTGGGAATGAGATGTAACCCGTGTAGGTTCTTTTATAGTACATTTTATGTTATATTTATTTAATGTTTCATTGAAAAGCCTCGTATTTTTATTATTTTCTAGAATATTAATATTGAAGTCTCCAGCAATGATTAGCTTTATATTAAGATTTCTAGCCCTACGACAAATTCTATATAATGTTTCATCCAATTTGTCAATAAACTTATTTATATTACTATTTGGAGGCCTATATATACATAATACCCAAATTTTTAATTCTGGTATGGCTATTCCACAACATTCAAATATTTTTTCTATAGAATTATCTGAAAGCCAGTCAATTTTATTATATTGTAGTGATTTTTTTACATAAATAGAGACTCCTCCTCTTATCAAATTTCGCCTTGTGTAGTAAGATGCAAGTTCATAATTTTCAATTTTAATATTACATATGTTTTTCATTTTACTAACAAAAGTCTCCGAGAAACATAATATGTCAATATTTGATGTCAATGTATCTAAATAAAGTTCAATGTCATTAATTTTTGATTTAATTCCCATAACATTATGATGAAAAATTACAAGTTTATTATTATTGGTTTCCTCGAAAAAACTCTGTGTCATCTGTCTGAGTGCCAATTGTGACTAACGTTTTATTGTATACAATTTCATTTGGTTTTCTATTTAAATATTCAAAATATTTGCGTTTATATTCTAAATGAAGAATATCTCTTAGTATATTTCTACACAAATTTAGAAGGCGATTACCAGAATGTTGCTCCCCGCTCGTGCCCAATGTATATCCAGTGAATGTTGCCCAGTCAAATTGATCACATATAAATCTATACATATAACGAATTTCTTTTAAATCTAAGAAGTAGTTACAAAACGTCTCAGTTAAAATTACATTAGTTTTACACAATTGGTTAATATAATAGTATAAATTAGATTTTAAACTAAATGGATTCCTGTCATTTGACCCACCTATTATAATTACATAGTCTTGTTTCGTTAAAGATTTGCAATGATTTAAACATGAATTTAATAGTTGATGCACTTTTGCGCCTGGCATTGTAATAGAAGTCACTTTAAATTTTAATCCTAATAATGACTGTAGAATCTTGCACACACCCTTTCCTTCATCATTTGCAAAAATAAGCACCTTGTGACCTTCAATCATTGGCGGAATTTGGTTGTTGTCAGTATGTATATTTTTTGAAAAGCTTTGTTTGTCTTTAGTTAAAGAATTATTTTGAGTTTTTACTTCTGTTTTATCTCTTTCACTTTGTTTCAATATGTTACTATTTATTTTCGCATCACTATCGTCTTGACTTTGATCTCTTTCATTGTGGATGTTAATTGCAGCTTCATTAAGTTTTACAGGTAGTTTATTTACTTTTGGTGTACTGTTTGTTATATTTTTCCTACTTATACGTGTCGGAGTAAAGTTGCTATCATTATTGAAGTAAGTAAGAGAGTTCGAAGTACGGCAGTTGCTGCAAATATTCGCTGTTGGATTAAACTTAATATGTTTTAAAGCTTTTATCGTTATATCATTTTGTAGTAATTTTTTTGAAAGTTCGCTATTTTCCAATAAAAGATTTTCGATTTCAGCGTGTGCTATGACTAAGTTCCTTTCCACTGTATTCAATTTGTCCTTTAGTTCATTAATTTCAGTATTATTTTCTAAGGTCATACTTGGTAAGCTTTTCATGGAACTATCCATTAACATAGAATTATAATGACTGCTGCTTTGATTTAAACTGTGGGATATGTCCAATAAAGAAGTTTCTGAGTTACATCGTGGTCTACGTAGAGTTACATTGTCATTTTTACTAATGTTAGCCATTTTTGATAGTCCTATTTTTGCATTAACATGACTATGTTGAGTATTTGATAAACAGTTTTTACATTTCCATGTTTCTTTATTCTGTTTTGTCATTAAGTAATATTTTTTTGTAGTAATATTCGTATCGATTAAATTTAACATACTTTTGCAAAGTGAACATTTTATAAATAAATTTTCTTGAATGATTTCTTCATCGGTATACATTTTTAGAGCTTCTTATCAATGCCCTCACTTTCGCAATCACTTTAAATATACAAAAATAATATACTGTATTTGAGTTTCGAACTAGCGATTATTTAATAAGTAGTGAACACTGTAGCCATTGGACCACTTTCAAGCTAGCAAAATTCGTGAATTTAGCGGTATCATTCATAGAAATATTAAATGTAACTTTTATTTAGGGTAGTCCACTACGTTTCATATCTAAAATGTTGTATCAATTACCCACATTTTATATTTTTATCTGTGTGTAATTGTAATTATAATTTTTGAGTTAGTTTCTTCTATGTTTAATATTTATTTTAAAAATCAAAAGGGTATATAATATGTTTATGTTGTTTTTATTTATGTGTGCGCTGTATGAACAAGTATTATCTCCAATATCTTTTCTATGGCAATATTGATAGTGTTGTTACATTACCACAATATTCTGGGTTCGCTTCAACAAATATGCTCACAAACACTGTCACTAATTATTTACATTATATTATTCCCAATGTATTACTTTCCATTAGGTTTTATCAAGTTTAAATATTATTATAAACAAATAAATGGAGAGGCAATGTTGACACTTCAATGTCATTCAATCAATCATTCAATCATTAGTACTAATTGTAAATGAATTGATTGTTCATTTACAATTAGTACTAATGTACCGATAGCTATATTAGTATAATTTTTATCCCATTTAGCCTTTTGGTTAAGCGTGTGTATATATTCACGTTGGTACCTACGCCAAAAGTCCTGATGGATTTTTTTAACTAGCTTCCATCGCTGAAGGATGCTAATAGTTTGATTGGTTATATTTTCTTCCGGAATAGTCGACAAAGGTTCCAATGTCAAGAAATGGCCTGGGGTTAACACTGAAAAATCGTTAGCATCAGAGCTGAGTGGCGACAGAGGACGAGAATTTAACATTGATTCTATCTGAGTTAAAATTGTATAAAATTCTTCAAAGGTTAATCTTTGAAGACCAATAACCCGAACCAGATGAGCCTTGACAGACTTTATTCCAGCTTCAGCCAACCCATTAAAATGCGGGCTACCAGGTGGGCTTAACGAAAATTTTATTTCTTGAGATTCTGAAATCTCTTTCATGATCGAAGCAAGATAGTTACTAGCACCAACGAAATTTCTTCCTTGGTCCGATATAATATGGCTACAACGACCTCTTCGTGCGATAAATCTTTTTAATGCGGCTAAAAAGGCTTCAGTTGTAAGTTCTGAGGCAAGCTCTAGATGAATGGCCTTGGTGGCAGTGCACACAAAAACGCAAATGTAGCCTTTATAGGTCTTTACGCCCCTACCACGACCTAACGCAATATCAAAAGGACCGCCGTAATCAACGACAACATTTGAAAAAGGTTTAATTTGATTGATACGATAAGCGGGCAGATTGCCCATAAGAGGGGCTGGAGCCGGCTGAGGCTTAGCCCGAAAACATTTCATACAACCTGCTATGACAGATCGAATCGCTCTCTTAGGTGACAGAATCCAAAAATTTTGCGCCAGTATATTCTGAAGTGTTTGTGCACCAGGATGCATAAACTTTTTGTGACAATCATCAATTATGAGATGAGTTAGGCGATGATCGCGAGGTAAGAGAAGGGGGTGCTTGACATTATAATTTACATTGGCATTAGCCAGTCGTCCGCCCACCCTCAAAAGTCCCGCAACATCGAGGAACAACGACAATTTACGTAAGCTTTTAGGAAGTAAATTCGAACGGTTTCTTTTCAAATTATCAATTTCCTTCGAAAAGGTAGTTTGCTGGACATATTTAATTAAATACATAAAAGATTTATTCGTTTCAGACGACAATAAAGGACCAACATTTTTTTCATTTGAACTGCTTCGACGCGAGTTATGAATAAACCGGAAACAAAACGACAATACACGTTTCAAAGTTATTAGCAACGAGAATTTATTTAATAACTGATCGACAAAGTTGACATTAGAAGAAGTTTGAAGACAAAGAATCTTTTGCTCTGCTTGAACGTCATGAGAAGATGGCAAAATTAACAATGATTCTGGCCAATTTTCTTCAGGTTCAGATAGCCATACTGGCCCCTTCCACCAACATTTATGTTTAACTAAGTCAGCTGGATGCATGCCGCGTGATCCTCCATCAGCAGGATTAAAATTTGTACTAACATGATGCCAACATTCAGGAGAGACTATGTCTTGGATATGACTTACTCTATTAGCTACAAACGTCTGCCATTTAGATGGGCATGACTTTATCCACGACAAAGCAACAGTAGAATCTGACCAAGCAAAAATGTTATTTATATCATGCAGTGGTTTCAAAGCACTCAGTACTGAATTTATCAAGTCTGCTAGTAAAACAGCAGCTTGTAACTCCAATCGAGGTAACGACAGTTTACGAAGAGGTGCAACCTTAGTTTTTGCACAGCAAAATTCGACAGAACAACAACCATTTGCATCGACAGACCGACAATAAACGACAGCGCAATATCCACGCTCTGAAGCATCACAAAAACCGTGAAACTGTAGAGACACAAAAGAGTTGACCATACGACGAGTGATAGAAATAGACGACAAAGACGATAATTGAGATTTGAACTTCGACCATTCCCTGGCAATATCCTCAGGTATATCGCTATCCCAAGAAACGCCCGAAGTCCAAAGAAGCTGCATAAGATACTTAGCGTAGAATGTAACAGGACCAAGAAAACCTAAAGGATCATAGATTCGTGCAATGTCCGATAATATTGTTCTTTTTGTGAGTCGCCGCTCTTCGAATTCAGCAACTTTAAATGTAAAGCAGTCTACACTTGGTATCCACAAAAGTCCCAAAATTTTAAGTGTGACATCAGAGGCTTCTTCGAAACTCCTAAATTCCTCTGAGTACAAATCAGATGGTTTAATATTATTCAAGAAATCTTTATGATTAGAGGTCCACTTTCGTAAATGGAACCCATTCGACGACAACATTTTAGTCAATTCCGATCTTATGCTTAAAGCCTTTTCGACAGATTCAGCTCCTGATACCACATCATCCACATAAATATCACGACTCAACACAGCGGATCCCGATGGAAATTCCGTTGCCGAGTTTTCAGCCACTTGAGCAATTGTACGCAGCGCTTGATAAGGAGCAGACGACACGCCATACGTGACTGTAAGGAGTTTATAGTCTCGAATAGGTTCATCAGGTGAAGATCGCCACAGAATTCGCTGATATTCCGAATCTTTATCAGAAACCATTATTTGACGGTACATTTGTTTAATATCACCTGTGAAAACTACAGAGTGCCAACGAAAACGCAATAATAAATCAGTGATATTTAATTGAAGCTTAGGACCAGGCAAAAGAGTATCATTTAAGGACAGATTATTAGCATCTTTTGCACTGGCATCAAATACGACACGAAGTGGAGTTGTAACTGATTCAGGCCGTAATATACCATGATGAGGGATATAATAAAATTCGCCGACACTACTGATTGGAACATTGACTTCTTTAAGATGACCACATGTCTCATAGTCTTCCATGAAAGAAGTATATAGCTGGCGAAATTCAAAATTATTTTTTAATTTATTTTCAAGCGACAAAAACCTTCTCATAGCTATCTCCCGCGAATTTGAGAAGATGGGTTTATTATTAGGATCAATGAAAGGTAAGGGTACAATAAACCTCCCTTCATGATTACGATGAGAATTTTTAACGAAGTATTGTTCACAAATCTGATCTTCCTTCGACAATTTTGAAGAAGATGTGACATTTTCTATCTCCCAAAATCTTTTAATATTATTATCTAACGACAAGTTCGAAATATTACACTGGGAATTATTTGTAACGAAATAACAATCCGCGTTTCGATTTTGACAACTATCAGCTGAGTTGCACTCACCCATAATAATCCAACCAAATACAGTGCGCAAAGCCCGTGGTTGTCCTACTTTACCTTTTCTTAAACCAGGGAGCAGTGCAGAAGCAAAAACACCAGCGCTTAAAAGCATATCAATTGGACCAGGACGATCGAAGTCAGAGTCGGCAAGTGATAATTTATTTATGTGAGACCAATCTGCAGAATTAATATACTGGCTTGGTTGATGAGCACAAATCGACGATAACACTAAAGCCTTTAAATTAAAATTACATGGTGATGAAGAGTTTATCGGTTTAATTTCACAAAACGATGACCCAAGTGGTTGTGCTGTAGAATGACCAATACCGCTTATAGACTGCTGTGTTTTAGTTATAGGCAATTGTAACCTGTTTACACAAGACTCCGAAATAAAATTACATGCACTTGCACAATCGAGCAGTACACGAACTGGTTGATAATTACCGTGACCATCTTTTATTAAAACCTTAGCTGTTGAAAATAAAACTGTTTTATCACTAAACTTGGCCACTGATGTCAAGACAGTGCTACTTAATGTTTCATTTTCAGTGACAGAAGTTTCAGGCTTGGGTTTGTCAAAATGCAACAATGAATGATGAGAATAGTTACAAAATTCACAACGATAGGTAGCACGACACTGTTTTACTGTATGACTATTCGAAAAACACAATAAACACAAACGTTTCTCCTTAACAAAATCAAAACGAAATTTTACATTTAGTTTTATAAATTTTTCACATTTAGCAAGAGAGTGCTGGCCTGTACAATATATACAAGTTACATGGGATACCAAAAGAGATGATTTTGCTTTAAATTTTAATTGATTATTTCCTTTATTATTATTTTGATTTATCTTGGAAACCATCGACGATGAACCACTTAATTCTAACGCTTTATAGTGCTTCTCAATAAACTTTTGTAAATGTTCAAACTTAGGAATAGAATCCTGAATATCCTCTGTATTCTGATCAAGTTGGAATGCTTCCTTTGTAACTTTATCAAGTTTAGACCACAACAAATAGAATAGCATAAAATTTTTATCTGGCAATTTATATTTTTCTAATATGGCTAAATTTTCTGAAAATGTACGATAAATACGTTCAAGTTCGGAACTTGATTTAAATTTAATGGGTTCACAATATAACATTTTTTCATAGTAAATTGTAGCGATTTGTCGCTGTCTATTATAATACTTCGTAAGAGTTTCATAAGCATTCATATAATTTTCATTCGTAACAGGATAATTTTTAATCAATTCATAAGCTTTACCCTGAACACTTGACAACAAATAATGTAATTTTTCTACATTCGATATATTCGTTCTATTATGAACTAGAGAGTCAAACAATTGTATGAATGAAATCCAATTGTCTATGGTACTGTCAAAAGGTTTAATACTGATCTTGGGTAATTTCACAGATGTCTGTGGCTCACTATTGTTATTATTTAAGTTAGAAGCACATTTTTTATCTGTGGAATTAATTTCACAAAATCTTTGTTTTATATGTTTCATTTTTGTATCAAATTTAACTGTAATTTCAAATTCACTAGAACGCTCTTGACGATTCAATGTTGATAACAACTTACATTGTGCTATATGAAATTCGTTTGCCAAATCCTTAAAGTCTACTTCAGAAAATCCCAATAGGTCTGATTGTTCCATAATTTCCAATCTCATTACCGCATAATCACGAGAAATGCGATTTATATCACCATTATCATAACTAAGACTTTCATTGGTCGCCATTTCGATAAAATTCAAATTAATGCCAATAAATGAAGTTAAAAATAATAAACTATTAAAAAACGTACACTAATTCACTAATTGTACGATATATTTACGTAATAATTTGCAACGACAACAAAATCGATAAGTATAGATTCAATCAATATTGAAATCAATATTCGATGTATGGCTGTATAGCAATTGTACCTTTGCCTCTCTAAAAATGTAGTGCTTATTAATAATTTAATTCCACTATCAATGATTTTAATAATTAGTTATCTACCCTCGACTAAAATAAAAACTGCACAATGGAATGCAAAAATACTAATTAGTTCAACTAGATAACAGTTTATTTTAATATTATATTACTATAGTTTGCAAATCAAATTTACTAATAATACAATTATGTCGCCTATCAATGATATCCGGCCGATGGGCCAAAATGTACGAGAATGTAAAGTGGACTGTATGTACGATAAGTTCTTTGAAATATTTGAGAATGCGAAAAACGACAAGTTGTTTTAAAAGCAGTACTAAATTACCTAGATTCAAAATTAGTTCAAATGACTTACCCTTTGATTAGCGAAAATTCCTTTTACAACATACTCAGATCACTCAGTTCCCTAAAGCATGCTAAAGTTACCTGAGATTACCTCGTAAATGTTATAAGAACTAAGGGTTTCGATCTTGAATCTTCCGACAGACGTTTCAATCTTAAATCCTTTTAAATATTTAAGAACGACACGAGAAATTATCTGTTGTGTAGTTCTTTTATAAAACAAAAATATTAAATTCAAAAACTAGTCACACGATTGTGAAATTAAATGTTATACTTATTAAATACTTTATGAGCGACAACGACAAAACTGTTCTGTTTCTGTATTTAAGAGCAGACACCAACAACTTTTTTTTATCTTACTACCTCCAATCAAAATTATTAATTGCCACATACAAGAATAAATGTTTTTATGAATTATCGAGAATGTTGCCATGCAATTATTACATCTAAAGTGAACATAAGCATTGATTAAGACTTGGCTAATATATATTTTTTGAATTTTTTTATATAATTATATAGTATTTGCTCGCAAATATGTATATTATTTGACCGAGATGAAAAGTACCTTCCTTTATTGTAAATGTGCTATTATATAGACACTTTGTAAGTTTACTTTACGCCTTTACGCCAAATTTCGGGACGATTATCTGATTACAATTATTTAGTTTAATTTCGTTGACATTAGTTTATATGCTACTACCAACGTATGATTTGATAATAATAATCAATCCTGTCTATTAAATAAAAAAATATTTCTAATCAATTAACCAGTGATAGAAACTTCCATAAAGTAACACCTAATTTAATAAAATATATACGATCAGTTGAGTTATTAAAGCACCAAGAAGCAACAACAAACAAACAAACTCACTTTTAATTTTAGCAACAATAGGGAACAACTAGTAAAATTTGAAAATGACACTAAGCCCAGTACCTATGTTCTGCCTTCAAAATATATTTAAAAAGAAAAAGTATTAATTGAGTCTCTTTGTTTTTAATAGGGACTTGTATAGTACTTTTACTGCTTTGTCCAGATTTATGAGCAAAAAATTAAATGCCTCTTAAATGTGTAATGTAATTACGTACATTTGCCAACAATTTTTGATCATAAATTTATTGCCAGGTACAATCTAATCTAATTCTTCTTATGACGATCGATCAACGAAGGAAACAACTGAATATACATACAATTATATACTAATGATAACGGAATTAAATAAAATAATTCTTATCAACTAACTAGTATTAAAGTTTTTATCTATATATCCTTATTAATATAATAAATGTGAAAATGTGTTTGTTTGTTACTTTATAGCGCCTTTACAGTTCAACCAATTACTATTAAATTTGGTATACACGTAACTATATGGGATGGAGAAGAATATTTTTATGCCGGTCAGTAAGCATAATCCCGGTCGCGCAAACTAAGACGCGGTTAAAAGCCAGTCTTTAATTATTGTTATTTATATATTGTAGTGAGGATACTTCAATATTAAATATTGCATAAATTTTAGGTTTCAAAAAAATAAAAAGAAATCCTTATCTGTTCATAAAATAATACATAATTTCCAATACACCATCTCAGGTGGCTGACATTTTGACTTATTGCCATAGATGGCAATCGTAACCCAACAAATACGCTAATATGTATTGTAATAGCCCAAAAATCCCTACAGCCTGTGAGTTATGTCACAATTAATGCCTAATGTTATCTTCTGTACGATATATTTTCATGGGCATAAATATAAAGATTTTAAATATAAGCAAATGAAATTGAATTATTGGCTGCCTTATTTACGGCTGCTTACTTTTTGTTATTTTCTAATGTGAAAGTAATAAATATGCTCACAATTGTAATAGCAGATGGCACACTCGTATACAATTTGTTGTATATTTTCTTTACGATGAACTTAATTCAACTTGCCCAGGTATCCATAAATATACTGAAATTTAATATAACAAATGAGGATGTAAATATTGCAGTGTCTCTAATTTGGATTGTTAATAGCTTTGGTATTGTGTAATTTGTTTTTTACGACATTACAATTTCAATCGTCACCATGTTGGTCAGAGAAAAACTTCTAGATCCAAAGTCCTGACACCTTTTAAATCAAGATAGTAAAGCAGTAGGGTGTGACGATATCTTTCTTGAAAGTTTTAAAGGTCAATTTAGTATCAATTTCAAATAAATAAAATGTTTGTAGCTATCAACTATTCGATATTATTTAAAATTATTGTTTATTTACTATACGATTTCTATTGTGAACACAAACAATGAATTACTATAATGTAGTTAGTTTAAGTGCTGTCTTGAAGATTAATATCAAAGTTCAGGTAAAGTTTGAGATACACAAAAGTAATAACGAAAATTTACACTATACTTATGTTTATGCTTTCTTAGTATGGTGAGTGAGGTTGACGTATCTTATCATACCATATTATTACTATAGTATAGTTACTTAGTAAATAATATTATATATTTTAAGACACTGTTTACGTTAACATTTAGAACTTTATAGCTTTACATAGTGTTTTATTACAAACTAAGTAATTCAAAAATCTATCACAAAAAAAAAGATATTCAATTAATAATAATAATCGAATAGTTACAAATACCTTTACTGTAATTGACCATTATTGACAGGGATATAGGACTCTAGCCATTTAATTTTATGATAGAAAAAACTTATTATATTTTGACAATTGTAAAAGAGTCAAAACCTATAGGGATACTTTCTGTTAACCTAGAATCACGAAATTGAAGAAGCAATATTGTACAGCACCAGTAAAGGGAACAAGCCGAAAATCCTAATATGTAGTTACATTACAATTTTTGTTTTAACTTTTTTTTTAATATACATTATTCAGCGCGTAAGTCCGACTCGTACTTCCTCAGTTTTTTTTTTATTCTGTTTAAAAATTCACAAATTTGTTCATTGTCTGAATTCATATACAAGCATAGTATGAACACTAACTATTTGGTATCTTTATCTGGTATTATATAACTATATGGTAAAAATAAGCCCAAAATGTGTGAGTAAAGAAAAAGGGATTTCGTTTCTGATCAATGAACTCGAAGATAACTCCTACGACTCCTACCAAGAGCGAGTTACAAAAACTACCTCTTTATGTGATCGCGTCGATCCAGTATGGTAATACGCTCTTATGTGAGTTTTTACTGATAAACGTAACAATACGGTTACGGATCCCATTATTATTGCCTATTCATGATACTTAGATATTTTTCCTTTTCTTTGTATAAAGATGTAGATACATATTCGTAGACGTTCGATAACCTTTTGTGCCGAAAGTAGAAATTACGTCATTCACATAAGATGGATTTTTCACTACTTTTAATTGGTAGTTTTACATATCGAGGCATTTGTAGGTTGCCTCTTTGCTATAAAATTTATTTTCATTTGATGGATATTCCCACGAAAGTATCTTATAATTTTTCCAAATATAAACCAGAGGGAGAATGTGTGCAAAAGTTGTTTACATAAGTACTTCTGATCCACTTTTGTTTCTGCCAGTAAGCAGCAGTGCTTTCATGGCTGGGTTTAGGTTTAAAGAGTAGAATATGGCTGTGAAATAATAAGGTATAGAGGCGTGACATTGTAGTCCTCAGCAGCGGCATCGCATGAAAACTACCATGAACATAATAGTATATTCTATGTATACATATATGGTATGTCTATGGAACTGTTCGTATCTATGGACGACGTAGTTCCTAAGTAGATGAACCGTCTGCTTATTTGCTATTTTAAGTATCATAAAAAAATATTTAGAATAGGTACATTTAACTTTCTTAATAGTTCCAAATCTTATTCTTTAAAATTTATAAAATAATCTATAAAATATGTGATACAATATTACCGTCTCGGTTATATTTATTTCCAAACTGCTCTGATATTTTTTTTTTCTGCAAATGATAAAATTTACCCCCGTCTTGGCCCCACATTAACTTAGGTAGGTCGGATTTACTTAAAAGATTTACCTTTACGCTATTATTTATACGAAGCAAAATTATATTGCCAAGTGAGCTATTAATTTCTTTGGCACTCTCAGTAAAATAAAAATATGCAACTTAAAATCCGAGTCCTATAAATAACCAAGTACGAATAGATTATCCTTTATTATTAAAATGTCTAAGTTCATACTGCATAAAATTATTAATAGAACTTATTTCAAGTGCCGTGTAACAAGTTAAAACTGTCCAAGTAAGTCTCTGGCACTTAAATAATACCGTTTTAATTTGTTTACGAGAAATTAGCTACATTAGAGGCTCTTTAGTGGAGTACTTAATTATGTACCTTTTAAACTACATTTAATCTCCGGAGTTTATTCGTTCATCCGCGCGGTTAGTTACTTTCAATATAAAAATTAATTTATAGCAATTTAAATTGCTATAAATTAAATATATTTCTGTTCTATTACGGTTCTCTAATCTTAATTTAAATTA